ATATTTTATTGATTTTTTACAGAGAGGAAGGGAGAGGGATAAAGAGTTAGAAATATTGATGAGAGAGAATCATTGATCAGCTGCCTCCTGCACACCCCCTACAGGGGATGTGCCTGCAACCAAGGTATATGCCCTTGACTGGAATCAAACCTGGGACTCTATAGTCTGTGGGCTGATGCTCTATCCACTGAGCAAAACCAGCTTTTATTTTAAAAGATGATCCTATTTATAATGTAGCGCATAATGTACCAGAGGAAAGAAATACTTCCTGCCCTCTGGGTAAATTCACATAGAAAATGAGAGAGTAGCCCTAACCGGTTTAGTTCAGTGGATAGAGCATCGCCCTGCGGACTGAAGGGTCCCAGGTTTGATTCCGGTCAAGGCCACATACCATGATTGCAGGCTTGATCCCCGACCTTGGTTGGGTGCATGTGCAGGAAGCAACCAATCGATGTGTCTCTCTCACATTGATGTTTCTCTCTGTCTCTCTCCCTCCCTTCCATTCTCTCTAAAAAATCAATAGAAAAATATCCTCAGGTGAGGATTAACCAAAAAAATAAATTAAGTTAAATTAAAGTGTAAGAGTTTGCTTTATAAAGGACCTTTGGATTTTCCAGTCAAGCAGAAAATGCTTTTACAAAGTCATTAATTTATCATTTCATAGACCTGAGTTTTCTAGATTTGTTTTGCTATAGGGTTTCTTTCTCATGGGTACACACTCAATATTCATAAATTGGTTGATGTTCAAAATCATAATAATAGGAAAATAAAACCCAGGGGGAAAAAAATAAATCTTTGATACTAAATTACACTAAAAGAAGCATCTGACCCAGCCGGCGTGGCACAGTGGTTGAGCGTCGACACACTCAATATTCATAAATTGGTTGATGTTCAAAATCATAATAATAGGAAAATAAAACCCAGGGAGAAAAAATAAATCTTTGAAACTAAATTACACTAAAAGAAGCATCAGGCCCAGCCGGCATGGCACCGTGGTTGAGCGTCGACATGAACCAGGAGATCACGGTTCAATTCCTGGTCAGGACACGTGCCCAGGTTGTGGGTTCCATCCCCAGTGTGGGGCGTGCAGGAGGCAGCCGATCCATGATTCTCTCTCATCATGGATGTTTCTCTCTTTCTCTCTCTCTCCCTTCCTCTCTGAAATCAATAAAAACATATTTTTAAGTTATTGAATACCTATTAAATCACGATAGACACGTTTTAAACCTTAGAGCGCCACAACACTCCTCGTGCCTGACTTCGATAGGTGGTTTTTGTGTTTAATATATTTTATTGATTTTTTTACAGAGAGGAAGGGAGAGGGATAGAGAGTGAGAAACATTGATGAGAGAGAAACATCGATCAGCTGCCTACTGCACACCTCCTACTGGGGATATGTCCGCAACCAAGGTACATGCCCTTGACAGGAATCGAACCTGGGACCCTTCAGTCTGCAGGCCGACGCTCTATCCACTGAGCCAAACCGGTTAGGGCTCGATAGGTGGTTTTGTACACGTTGTTGAAATACTCACAGCCTGTGCTTCCTCATTGTCAAACGTAAGCAGCTCCAGCGTGGAGTCCCCCTCCAGCGGGCGGTCCAAGTCCCATAATTCACCATTGACCTTGGCTATTACGGTGCTTTCGGCCAGTTCTCGACTGGTGAGAGAAAAAATCACCGGGCAGTTAACCTCGTCACAGGATATCATGATCTGTTAAAGCACGAGAATAAAACCACTCCCAGGGTTTTTTGTTTGTTCGTTTGTTTGCTTGCTTTTTGAAATCCTCATCCAAGGATATTTTCCCATTGAATTTTAGAGAGAGTGGAAGGGAAGTGGAGAGACAGAGAGAGAAACATCAATGGGAGAGAGACACATCGATTGGTTGCCTCCTGCACGTGCCCCAACCAGGGTGGGGGATCGAGCCTGCAACTAGGTATGTACACTTGACTGGGAATCGAACCTGGGACCCTTCAGTCCGAGGGCCGATGCTATAACCACTAGCCACACTGGCCAGGGCAAGAACAACACATTTTCAACAAGCTCTGGCCCAACACTTACTACTGAACATGCCCGGCAACGGGTGGCTCAGTGGTTGAGCGTTGACCTATGAACCAGGAGGTCAGGGTTTGATTCCCCGGTTGCAGGCTGGATCCCCAGTGGGGGGCAGGAAGGAGGCAGCCGATCCATGATTCTCTCTCATCAATGTTTCTCTCTCTCTCTCCCTTCCTCCGTCTGAAATCAATGAAAATGTATTTTAAAAAAGGGTCACAATAGCCAAAAACAAGCCAAAATACACCTGAAATCTTCTCCAACCTATGGTTTACCTGATGTCAGCAGCCACCTGGTACCATCAATGTTTCTCTCTCTCTCTCCCTCTCCCTTCCTCCGTCTGAAATCAATGAAAACGTATTTTTAAAAAGGCTCACAATAGCCAAAAACAAGCCAAAACCCACCTGAAATCTTCTCCAATCTGTGGTTTACCTGATGTCAGCAGCCACCTGGTATGGTGTGGTTTTCCACGCTTCCCCTTCCACGGTTTTCCCATCAGCCACTCTCACTGTGATCGCATTGCCTGCGCTCCCCTCGCTCCCACCGGGGGCACGTGACAGCTGATGCTCTTTCTTCAATATCTCAAACAGTGCCAATCTTTCCTTTATGAAGTCTGGTTGGCTTTTCACCTGAAAATCATTGGCATGCACTCAGGTTAGCATACGCACCCCACTTTTTCCTTTAAAAAAATTTTTTTTTAAGTTTCAGAAAGAGGAAGGGAGAGGGAGAGAGAGAAACTTCAGTGACGAGAGAGCATTGTGCACCGGCTGCCTCCTGCACGCCCCGAGCACGTCTCAATGACAGGCAGCGTCTTATACTATTTCCGGAGCAACGACTGACCTGGCTGTCAGGCTCCCGGTCCTCCGTCGTATTTCGAATGTCCTTTCCTCGGTTTTGGCGAGGAGGAGGCTGGGAGAGAAAGGCAGATGGTAAACAGCTCATGCCCGTGACATGAAAGAGCGACACATCTGAGACCCGAGGGAGGAGGGGGACATGCCAGCAAGTGCCCCCTGTGTCGGGGCCCTTAGCTGGGCTGTCCTGAGCGCCCCCTGCAGCCCTCCATGGGCAAGTTGTTTTCTGAGGTTTGGTCCTTCCTGTCTGGGAATTCTCCTATATTCTTGCTAAAAATAGGATATATAGGGTGTCCCAAATTTCACGCAAGATTTGAATTTTGCATGAACATTAACAACAACAACAACAACAAAAATAAAAGCCTCATTTTACTTGGTTTATTGAATCAGATTCTCGCATCTGTTGTCCTCTGATTTCAACCCCTTCAATTCGATAAGCATTACCAAGTACCAATGATGGCCCAGGAGCAGGGACAATGAAGACCAATGAAGACCACGGCTTTGCGTCTGTGCCAGCAAAGCCGTGGAGGCCATTTACCCGATGTGCTATTCCATACATAACCCTAGACTGTATCCTTTATGAATCAATAAAAAATTTACAATTTTTAATTATAAACCTGTGTTTTCTATCAAAATTACTTCTTGCGTGAATTTTGGGACTATATATATATATACATATATATATATATACATATATATATATACACACACACACACACACACACACACATACATATATATTTAAATATGTCTTAATTGATTTCAGAGAGGAAGGGAGAGGGAGAGAGAGAGAAACATCAGTGATGAGAGAGAATCATGGATCGGCTGCCTCCTGCACGCCCCCCACCGGGGATCGAGCCCGCAACCCGGGTATGTACCCCTGACCGGGAATCGAACCCTGACCTCCTGGTTCATGGGTCGATGCTCAACCACTGAGCCACACCAGCTGGGCTATTTTTATATACTTATTGTATTTTAAATCTAAGTAGATTTAATGTATTTTAAAGTCCCCACCCCCTAAACTTTAAACAAATAATGTCACTGGAAAACGGCTGTGTAGCTGCCACCAGAGACTTTAAGCCCATTATTTCATGAAGATGTGGATAGGGCTCCCTGGTTTTCAAGAACTGTCTCCCCCCCACCCCCACCCGGGTCTGAGAAAGCCTTCAAAACGCAGGAAATTCATTACGTCCCAGGAAAACAATCTGCCCATCAATGAACTAAAACAGTAAAATCCTGCATGAAATAAGGATGCTCCATACCCAGACCTCAAGACAAGACCCCAACCTGCCCAAGCGAGGAACAGAGCTTTCAACGCGCCAGCATTTTCTTTTCTTTCCAAGCAAAGGAAGCTGCTGTTCCCGCTCCTACAGAAACGTGGGGGCGGCGATGGAATGGGGGAGCTGGGCCGTGCACCCCGAGGTCAGCCGGGCGGGGTACCGGGAGGGCAGGGCACGCCCTCCCTGCAG